CCTGAGCCACTGCGCCCCAGCTGCAGTTTTCTTTTTCTTTTTTTCTTTTTTGAGTCGGAGTCTCATTCTGTAGCCCAGGCTGGGGTGCAGTGGCACGCTGGTGGCCACCAAGCTGGGCTCAGGCGATCTTTTATTCATAAGAGAGTGTTGATTGTCCATATCAAAGATTATGCAGATTGAGGGGTCCCCAAGGTTCCATCCTGCCCTTGGTCCCCTAAGGGAGGGAGGTTCTGGTTCCCAGGCCAGGGTCCCTGGCCAACTCAGCCCTTTCTCCTTGCAGCCCAAAATAGCCAACCACGGGACTGGGCGAGGGAGGCAGGACAGAGTGCCCACTGGCATTGCTGCCAGTCCCCCCCCCCCCGCCCCACCCTCTCCTGGCTTCTCGCCAGCCCTGTGGTTCTCAGGAGTTTCACTCACTGCTCCTTTGTCTGCTTAACATCCAGCCTCCCTGCTCCCTCCTCCTCTCCACCCCAGCCTAAGGTGGCCCCCACCCAAACAAAAACAAAAACAACTGTCAGTGAAGTAAACGGCTCTTCCTTCCCTGCACTTGCTCTGGGTGTAAGCTCATCACCTCACTTCAGGAAGCAGGGTAGGGGGAGGAGGTGAGGGGAGCAGGGGAGAAGGAGGAGTGGAGGGGTGGTGTTCTCTCTCCTGGGGATGGGGCCAGGGTCTCTGTTCTTGAGGCCCCTCCTCCTGGTTTCTCAACACTGCATGTGTTCTCAACCAGGGCATGTGTTTCCTGTCACCCTGCCCGTGTTGGCCGTCTCATCCCATGGGGGTGTATCTATCACTAGCAGAGCCCTCGCTGCCCTCACCCCCATGGAAACACCCCAAGCCTGGGGAATGTGTCCACCTCTGAAGGCTAAGGAGCTCCCAGAGGCAGGGAGCGACTGTGATGGAGACTTAACTCTGTTTCTTTTTTTTTTTGAGTTGGAGTCTCACTCTGTCACCCAGACTGGAGTGCAGTGGCCGCTCCGGTCACCGCAGCCTCGACCCGCTGGGCTCCAGCGATCCTTCCGCCTCAGCCTTCCAAGTAGCTGGAACTACAGGCGCGCGATACCACGCCTGGCTAGTTGTTGATTTATTGTAGAGATGAGGTTTCGCCAAGTTGCCCAGGCGGGTCTTGAACCCGCGGGTTCAGGCAATCCACTCACCTCGGCCTCCCAAAGTGTGGGATTACAGGCTGAGCCACCGAGCCCGGCTTATTTTTTATTTTTTTGAGTCGGTCTTACTCTGTCGCCCAGGCTGGAATGCAGTGGCAAGCTCACTGGGTTAAATTTTTCTTTAATTTCCCCATGTTCCCAGATCAGATTTTTTTTTTTCCGGCCAGGATCTCCCTCTGTTGCTCAGGCTGGGCTGCAGTGGCAGGATTATGGCTCACCACAGCCTCAACCTCCTGGGCCCAGGAGATCCTTCTGTCTCAGCCTCCTGAGTAGTTGGACTACAGGGGCATGCCATGATACCCCACTAATTTCTGAAGTTTTCTGTAGAGAGGAAGTCTTGCTATGTTGCCCAGGCTGGTCTCACACTCCTGGGGCTCAAGCATTCCTCCTGCCTTGGCCTCCCAAAGTACTAGGATTATCAGTGTGAGCTATGGCATTCAGGTCAAATTACTCTGAAGCAAATCCAGTCACTATATCATTTCATACACAGATATTTTAGTATATACCTTTAGAAGGAGGATTTTTTTGAGTCAAGGCCTCACTCTGTCATCCAGGCCAGAGTGCAGTGGCATAATCATGGCTAACCACAGCCTTGACTTCCTGGGCTCAGGTGATCCTTCTGCCTCAGCCTCCTGAGTAGCTGGGACTATAGGCACATGCCACTATGACCAGTCATTTTTTTTCATTTTTTACAGAAACAAGGTCTTGTTATCTTGTCCAGGCTGGTCTCAAACTCCTGGGCTCAAGCAATTTACCTGCCTCGGCCTCCCAAAGTGCTGGGATTATAGGTATGAGCCACCATGCCCGGCTAAAGGGAGGATTTTTATTTATTTATTTTAATTTTTTAGTTTTTAAACTTGGAGTCTCACTCTGTTGCCCAGGCTGGAGTGCAGGAGTGCAGTGGTACACTCACAGCCACCGCAGCCTCGACCTGCTGGACTCAGTCAGCCTTCCAAGTAGCTGGAACTACAGGGAGCTCGCCACCACACCCGGCTAATTTTTTGATTTATTGTAGAGATGCGATCTCGCCAAGTTGCCCAGGCTGGTCTCAAACCCTTGGGCTCAGGCAACCCTCTTACATCCACCTCCCAAAGTGCTGGAATTTCAGGCATGAGCCACCACGTCCAGCAGGGGGTTTTTAACGGGAAAAAAACCAAAACCAAACAAACAAAAAACCCTTCACACAATACATATCATGCCTTAAAATTTCTTCTTTTTTTGAGTTGGAGTCTCACTCTGTCGGCCTCAACCTGCTGGGCTCAGCCGACCCTTCCACCTCAGCCTTCTAAGTAGCTGGAACCACAGGTATGCACTACCACACCCAGCTAATTTTTTTTGATTCATTGTAGAGATGAGGTCCTGCCATGTTGCCCAGGCTGATCTTGAATCTCTGAGCTCAGGCAATCCTCTCACTTCTGCCTCCCAAAGTGCTGGAATTACAGGCGTGAGCCACTGTGCCTGGCATTATAATTTCTTAATATCATCAGATACCTACTCAGTATTTAAATTTACCTGATGATTTAAAAAACTCTATTTTTTTTTAAAGTTGGTTCACTTGAAACAAGATCCAAATCAGGCTTTTGTTGATATATCAATTTATGTTAATCTATGTCTCTCCTCATTCTTTTTTCCTTCCAATTTTATTTGTTAAGGGAAGTGGGTGTTTGTCCTTGTTTCTCTCATTCTAGATTTTGTCCACTACATCCTGGGAATGAGTATGCTATTTTGTATCCTTATCTTTGTAACTTAGCAAACATGCTCCCATTATGTCACATACTTTTCACAAACATACTAAATGGCTTCATACTATTCCATCCAGCAGATATACCATAATGTTTTTCTTGGGCATTTAAGTAGCTTTCAGTTTTCCATTAACATTAATATAACATAACATAAATATTGCTGAAACATCTCACACGCTGCAGCTTTTCCTGCACGTGGGATGACTTCCTTAGAATACACTACCAGAAGTGTCATCATGGCCCTGAGGCATGAACAACTTTTCAGCTTCTTGGCACATATTGCCAATTGTTTGTCCAAAGGGTTGCATGGCCCCCAGCACCTCATAAGAGTCCTGTCACTCATTGTGAACCTAAGCATTCAGGCCTATGCATGACTGAATGATGTTTGGTGAAGATGGTAATTATGATGGCGGAGACTTAGAGAAGGAGAAAGACAGGGACTCAGGGCTGAATAAAGCAGAAAGTGATCTGCAATTTACCACAAACCTAGAGTGAGTCAGAACTTTGTTAATTCCTATTGTGAAAAAACCCTTGATAACAGGAGTTATTAACAGGGCATGACATGTCCAGTAACCTTTCCGTTAGACTCTGCATTAGTCAGAACCTTATTTAAGACGTGGACCCAGTCTGGGTCACTGAACTTCAGAGATGTGAGGAAACTGGCAAAGACCCAGAGCGTTCGAGCAACTTGATGTGGGATGGAAGAATCCCGGAGAAAAATAAAAGGACTCAAGCAGTGTCACTTTGGAAAAAATAGAGACATCTCTCTTGCCTCGGGACTGGGGAGGTTTCAGTGCAAATGACAACATCCAGTTTCCTTATGTCTGCAGAAAACTAACTATAAGGTATCCACAAACCAGGAGAAACTACTGTAGGACACAAGGCAAAACTATGTCAGACTCATGGGATTATTTCAATCTTGGCATGAGACTTCTTAGGCCATTGGCCCTAGAAATATTTGAGAAGCTGATGTTTTCCTGCTCTAGATGGTTCACGTACTCACCTGCCTGGTGACCACTAGGTGCCTTTGGGGGTCCCACTCCAGCTGTTTTCTGGTGGCCTTGTGGGGAGAGGTGGGGAGGGTCAGAGGGGTGGGTGGGGTCTGAGGGAGGTTTCCCTGGGCTAACCTTTGCCTTTCTGTCCCTTCATATCCAGCTTAAGGTGCCTTTACAGCCAGTCAGGTTGGCATGCATGACATCATCTGATCCTGCTATTCCAGCCCTGCCATGCATAGAGTGGACTTAGAAGTTGGGTGGGAGAGCGGAAACTACCCAGACAAGGCCTTCTTCGCGACATGGAGAGTGGGAGTGACCCAGGAGACCTCAAGAGTCATTTAGGTCACCCTCCTACAGTCATAGCTTCCTACAATGCAACAGGTGCTTTGCATGCACTCTTTTGAATTCTCACGACAACCTTGGAGGTAGGGTTTCAGAGGTGTCGAACTGGAGATTAAGACAAGTGAAGTAATTTGCCCCAGGGTCACACTACCGATAAAGGAACGCATGCACTATGTCTGTCTGGTAGTAAAATCTGTGCCTTTAGAGTACTCAGACGTGTCAAGTGCAGATCAGAGCTTCCCACTCAAAGCCACACGAGCTGTCCTGCGACAGAAACTCAGGCCGAGGCTCTGATGTGGCTCGGTTCAAAGCTGCCTGGTCACGTGTAACTGAGGAGTGGGCGGGCTTCGGCTCTCTGCCCTGCAGACCCCTGCCAACTCCGTGAAAAGCCCATTCCTTGGAGGGCCCAGTAGGGTAAAGGGCCGGTCCAGTCCGTTTCTGGAGGAGCCAATCTGGGGCCGGGGCGGAGGCAGCAAAGTGCAGTGGAAAAACCCTGCACTTGGGGTCAGAATATCTGGGTTCCGGGCCAGGCTGCGACCCAGCGGGGACCTAAGGCAAGTTACTTAAAAGTCCGAGTTTCCTCATCTGCAAAACCGGGGCAAGAGTAAACCACACTGGAAGGGCACAGACGCAAAAGCTGGAAGTGTTTCGCACCAAAGGACTATCATCTGATGTGACTATCAGGACACGGCGAAACTTACAACCGTGCGGCCCCAGAAAGGTGGGGGGCTG